GTGTAAAAGGGGAAAAAAATTCGTATTAACAGTAAGGCTGAAAAATTTATGAATCTTTTTCATAAAATAGTATTGAAGTTCCCCCCCCCAAAAAAAAATCATCACATAGGATGTTTTATTATCTCTTTTACTTTATAGCAATCGTAAAATAAACAATTTTGTTAGAATTAAATTAATTCTGTGTTGTTATGTCAGCCTTGTTGATGATTTGATTTGTTTTAGTTACCACAAAATACTCTTGCTAATCCAGGTTGTTGCCAGTATTTCAAGTTTTAGTATTTTCACAACGCAATGCAAAAACAATAAAAGCTGCTGCTAGATTTTACTAATATTAATTGATTAAATTCAGAGCATATAGCTAAGGCAGGTTTCCTGCCCATGCAGATCGTTTATGCAAAAAATATTTTGTATAAAAATAAATATGAGTAAATTTGTTAAGCAAAAGTATAAGTTTGTTTTTTTACATGGTAGAGGACTTTATGGAAGTATGGGAAAATGGTTTGTATTCTTGGTTACACATTTGAAAACCATAAAGATATGCAAACATCCAGGTGCTTTGCCAGAATTCAAACCCAAATCAGTCTACTGCTGTTCAAAAAGAATTTTAACTGCTTAGTTTGTATTAAGCCAAAGATTTAATTACTTTTGCATTTATATCATAAATTTAAATGCCATTATGTTGTAACTGTAGTTATAGTTGAATTAATTATAGCTTTAATTATAAAGTATATAGGGTCTGGTTTTCTTCAGGAGCACACAATTAGACCGAACCTCTAAAAGACAACTAGTGAATACCACAGGGAAAGGGAGTAAAGGACTCTTTTATTAATCCAAATAAGTTTAACAGATGGTCAACTCATGCTTATAGAAGCCAGCACTTTCAGCTTAAATCAAAAATAATGGATAACCTAAAATTAATGAAGTTTGTGGGTAATCTGACAGCTTCACAGTATAACTAGAGTGCAAGCTGGCTATTTCCAAAGTTGGCGTAAGCAAGCCTAATGGCAAGAGTAACTCGGACTGCAGCAGAATTCTAAACTGAGAGAATCAAAGTAGCAACGTAGCTTTCAAGCAGGCAGAACATACTCTGATTATTTCACCCTCCAAAGTACTTTCGTTTAAGTACTTCCTTCCTTCTTCGTAAATTGAATATCATGTGCTAAAAATTTACATTCTGGCAGGGAAATGAAACGAGGCTTGATAAAAAAAAAAGTGATTTAACTTAAAATAATGGGTTAGGACATTAAAATTAACCTCATAAGTAACAATAATAAAGTATCAACTGTGCTCAGTCAATAACTGATAGCTTAAATTTTAAAGATAAGTTAAAATTCTTGTGCTTTTCCAAATTACAGTAATCTGAGAAATTGCTGTGCGCAAGGGCACATGGAGGTTTCATTTAAGATCTTATATTTCATGCATTGGTAGCATTTGCCAAAGGCTGTTACTAGATTGTTTCAATTCATCTTGTCTGTCTGTTTCCAAGAAACTTTATTTTTCAAGGGCAGTATTTTGTATCATTAAGGGAAAATAATCTCTCCCTCAACATAAAGTACTGATAAATTTAATTATAGCTGCAATTATAATTATATTATAGTTGTAATTATTATGTAATAATAAAATAAAGGAAAATAAGATCCTCTTCTCAGAGATGAAATTGCTTGGACAACCTGACGTTCATTCTGCAGTAAATGTTTAAGACAAAACTACTGTTAAGAAGAATATGACTATTAATTAGCAACTGTGGTAGTCACTAAAGAACATTTAGAGTCTCTTGGCAGATATGCTCATGATGCCTCTGATTCAAGAAAGTGCCACTGAAAGGGGCTAGATTATTTAGAAGTTAAAATCAGTTGACCTTCTAACACTACAAGACACTTTAAACACCTATGCAAAATACAAACAAATGTAGAAAATTCAGTTTCTCTTCCATGAATTTCAACCCCTCCATTTTTAATGCCATGCAAAGACAAATAACAGTGTAACTCCCCCCCCAAAAAAAATTTCTTACTCTTGAGCCATGGAGATGGAACTAGACATGGTAAAACACCTGACAAGTTTTTAGTGAAGATGCTTACAGCTACATCAGAAAGTTAACTTTCAAATAATCTTAGCCATTTGTAATAAAAATGTACTTAATTTAAATAATTTCTTTCTTAATCAGTTTAAAAGTTTCAAATTCACCAGAAGAGCAAAATGCTTTTGCATACTGTATATAAATTTCAAATTGATAAATTAGTTATTTGTTCCTTTAATTTTGAATAATGCTCAAAAATTACTTCAAGATGCCTGTATCTCTCAAATGAAAACACTGATGGTTGTAGTCTTTTACTTTAAAATCAACAATTCACCTCATAAATTCACCAGAAGAGCAAAATGCTTTTGCATACTGTATATAAATTTCAAATTGATAAATTAGTTATTTGTTCCTTTAATTTTGAATAATGCTCAAAAATTACTTCAAGATGCCTGTATCTCTCAAATGAAAACACTGATGGCTGTAGTCTTTTACTTTAAAATCAACAATTCAAGACTATTGCCAGCCCTCCATTTTGCAATAACTCGTGTCATTATCATCGTAAAGCATTTATTTTCTCCATCGCATTTGAGACTGTAGTTCAGTTCAGCCTTCATTCACATGCTCTTCATGAAACAAAACATGCTAAATGGAACTGGAATGTGGAGGGGGGAGGATTAATCAAGACAACCTTTTTTCTGCAGCATTTGTTCCTGTCGTTATGATTTAAATCAGACAGTGGCAAATAACCGTGAAGTTCCTGTTTTAAAGTAACAGGCTATAGTACAGGCAAGTACTGACATTCAAAGAAACCACTTAATTAACAGAAGTTAAAACTTTAATTGATAATAAATAATTAACTGAACAAATAAGCTCTAACTAATTAATCAATTACTTTTGGATATGTGTAGCTGAAATCTGAAATGAGAATTTTTTAGTTAATCAGCTACACATTTTACTAAATTATGTTAAAATGTTATGTAATTTTCTTAGGAAGAGAACCAGGTTGTGCAAAAGGTAAAGGTGGATCTATGCATATGTATAACTATAACTTCTATGGAGGAAATGGCATTGTAGGAGCTCAGGTAAATTTTATTATAGAAGATATTTTTATATTATTATATGTTAAGTTTCCCTTGCTGATTTATTCTGTATGACGAGAAGTAGTTCTCAGAATAATAATGTTTCATATACACAAGAGCTTATTTAAAATTTGTTTTCATGGAAGAACTTCTTTTGGTGTTTCTTTTTAATCCACCCAGTAATTCCAAAAAGTAAAAGAAATTCTTGGCTTTCCTTTACTTTTTAAAAGAACTTAATTTTTCACCAACCTAGCATGTGATAAACAACAGCCATTTTCAAAAATGGTGGCACAATAAAAATTACATAAAGTAGCAACTAATTAACAAAATTAAAAGTATACATAAAGAAATCCATGATAAAAACACTTAATCCATAATAAAAAAAACTTTTCCCTGCTCTTTTTACCATGTACACAATAATCGAATTTAGCTTCAAAAACATCAGACAGTTGCAGAAATATGACACTGCATATTCTGTCATTATCCCATGTGCACAGTGATTGATTTTTGCTTAAAAAGGAAATCTGAGGATTGCATAAATTTAGCATCGCACATGCTGTTTTTTCCCCATGTATTTCTTTTCTCTTAAAGAAAAAAATATGAAACTTGCAAAAATTGTGGCATCAACACACAAATTTGCTCATTTATGAAGTGCAGTAAAATGTGCAGAAACACAAGGAAGGAGGCAAAGCCATAGCAGATTTAGTATTAACCAGGGTGCATCGTGTGGAAGGCCTGGTGACTTTTGATGTGCCTTGTGATGTATGGGTGACATCAAACATCAAGATGTATCGAGGGCACTAACTTTCGCTCTGAGAGGCGCCTAAAGTTTAGTTTCCAAGAAGGAGACCTATAGAAAGGTCATAGATAAGGGGAAGGCTCGTGGAACTCATAAATGAAAACGAAATTAATTTGTATTACTTAATGTATATATTTAAATTATTAGTAGTGTAAATTTAATATTTAGTTTTATGTGTGCAATAAATGTTTAAAATACAAGAAGGTGGATTAATTTCTCTATGAGGTGGTGTATGAAGAAAGGGATGATATCACACTACTCATCTTGACTTGTGCTCTGCACTTGTATTTTTAAACTGTAGAGTTCAGAAATATTGGAAGGCTAGAGAACTAATGGCGTCATTGGCAATCTTCTGGGCATTTGTAATAAATAAATGAAGTACAGCTTCATGGAATGTGAATTTTTGCATTCTCTAAAACATAATATTTCTTTAAAAAAAAGTGCAGTGCTTCCTTTTTCATCAGCTTTCAAACTCTACAGCTCCATTCCATTTCCTTACCCCCCCCCAAAAAAAATGCCCATACTCATCAAACAGTAATCGAAACAAGCGCTAATCATAAAATTGACCTTCAAATTGGAAATGCCCAAAACCACATTTCTGGGTTGCCATGAAAATATATGTTATGGATCATCTAGCTTGCCAACATATTGCACTATGTAGTGAATTCTTTTCAAAATTGGGCGGATAATCATGAAGTACCCTTTTTTATTCTCTAATGAATACTGCTGTATTATAAGTGTGCTGCCCAGAAGGGATAGTGGTTAATGCCACTGATTCTGTACCAAAGGGCCCATGTTTGCTGTAACCTGTAGGATAAATGTTTTCTCACTTAGCAGTAGTGTTGTAAGGAATTTCAGTTTACCTTACAACATGTATACAGGAATTTTCCTTACAACATGAACTGAGTACAGTACATCAGTAGAATCTTGGATAGATAAGAGATTACCTGTGAAGATAATTTGTGTACAAACTGGAGAAATTTCAGAGGTGACATAAATCAGCCATATCAACTCTTGTACTTCATGACATATGACTACCACATAGCATATGCCTTTAAGAAAGTGGTTCCTCACATATTGATGTCTGATAGGAAATGCAGATGATCATCTGCTAGAAACTTCATTACCATTGTGCTCAGTGATCCGATATTTCCAAACTGCATTGTCATTGGTAACCAATCATAGTGCTTACTTCATAATTTGCAATTTGGAAATTGTATTCATCTCCAAGGAGGGAGGGGCCTACCTGTCAGAATAGATTAAAAATCAGGATCGTACTGCAGATGTATTTTGATGGCAAAGAAATCATGGAATTCATTCCAAACTGAGTTACTGAGTTAGCAGAGAACAGTATGTAGCCGTCTGCATAATATGCATGATTCTCTGTGTCTGAAGAGTCTTTCACCTGTGAAGAAATAAAAATTTGTGATTTCTTTAAGGTGATGTAAATTTCTGCCTTGTTCAGGGTAATGCTCCTCAATATCATTCTTCTCTTGTACCAACTTAGCCTAATGAAACATGAAATAACACTCATGCTATATCCTCGTATTGTCAGGAGATGTATGCCTCTTCACTTGCTTTGCGAACATACTGCATCCTGAATAAGAACACGGAACTTACTAAAGTTCTGTTCCAGATTGTGTGGAATAGATGACACAAGCAGGAAGGGTATAGTAAACTCTTTATTCTCTATTACTTTACAGGTACTCCTGTACTTCGGGATACAGAGACCAACCACTTGTGGTCTGAATGTAAAAATATAAAACTACTATCTAAAACTCTAACTAAAAGTTAACTTTGAATTAGTATACAAATGCCTAACACTAAGACTGGCTTTTATTTAAAAGGGTACGTATGTAGACGCCGAGCTGCTGAAACTACAATACGTTTTCAATATCAGAGGGCTAAACCTCTGCCTTAAGGCAAACAGCAACCGAATGAAAACTCGTAAGACTGCAGTGGCAAGCGGCTCGCGTCCTAAATCTCCTTCTCTCTCTCACTCTTGGCAAAAAGCCACAATTTAAAATACTTGGGCGTTAGCAAAACAAATTGCATAAGCAAGTTAAAGCATTTAATTCTGGCCAGAAGTAGAAAATAAGAAGTGATAGTACAGTCTTAAAATAAAGTAAACATTAGTAAAACTTAGGATCCTTACAGTATTTACTTGACCTCATCTTCTGCAGCTTTTTTCTATTCAGTTGTGTAAGAGACATTTCCAGTCAGAAGAAAAGCCTATCTCTGCAACAGTGCAAGCTTTATTAACAATTCCTGTTTGTCAGTTCTAGAAATCTTTCCATATCACTATTAGCAGCTCTACACTATGGCCATTGCTATACATTGCTTCAAAAGCATACATAATATGAAGGTAGTGCCTGGTACATAGGAAAACACCTAATCGTAAAACATACTGACTATAATATCTTTTATATAAATAGTTTAAAAATTTTAACATTCCTAGCATATCTTTATTTATCCCTTTATTTTCATATTTTTATTCCTATATCATCCTCTTATTATCCTTTCATGACATTATATTATATATAAATAAGAGCCTAAAACCCATGTCAGTGCCAAGAGTCTGAAAAGAATTTAAAATTAATTAATTTTAATTGATAATGCTGTATTTTATGATGATTGATAATTTGGTATAATATGTAATTGTAAATGGTCTTTAACTCTTTAAAATTGTAAATTTTAGCATGTCATCAGTATATGGATTAAATATGTTTTACTTTTTCTTTTGAACTTGTATATAGTTTCATAATTAGTTATTTATACCTTTATTTTATATTTTAAAATGTGTACCATCATTATGGTAACTTGATTGCCAATTAAAATAATATTTAAAACAGCTTAATCTTCTAATAAAGTTATAAATATTTAAGATTTTACATGACCTTTTTAGTCCTTGTAACTATAGCTTTGCTTACTGAATGATTAATTCCAATTTTCTCTCGAACTTCTCTTCTTCCCCACTCCACATATTTATAAAATTTCATATGTTGTCTTGTATATTTGTGCTGAAATGCAAGATAAAATTAAGCTTAAAGAGCTAAAATATTTATCTGCTGCTTCAGTTAAGTGCAGAGGAAAAAAAAAAACATATTTGTTTTTCATTGCTAATATCAATTCAAAAAACTCATTTATGCATCTAGTATAAACTTTATTAATTTAAATTTTAAAAAAAGACGTTCACTCCCCATTTATTCAATCTATGTCTTCTGTGGCCTCAGTAAATTTTTTTGTTTTACTCAAAGTTGGTTCATATTGGTATAAATTACATAAAATTAAAATGTTTCTGGATTTTTTTTTTTTCATACATAAAGTTTCCTCTTTAAAAGTTCATTTTATTTTTTAATTTAAAGCAAAGAAATATGATCTGGTATAACTTTAAACTGTGCATAATTTATGCAAGCATATTCTCTTATAATGCATAATTTGAAACATGCTCTTTTTATGTAAATAATTGAAAATTATAAAGGTATAATTAGGAAACTTGTGTATAAATATAATTTAGAATTAGAAAAAATTTATTACTAGTTCTGGTATTAGAAATTGTTCATTGAAAAACTTTCAATGAAACTTGTTTTGGTATTTTATACATATATTCATTGTAACTATAAATAATTAGGTTCCTCTTGGAGCTGGTATAGCTTTTGCTTTGAAGTATCTTGGACGTGATGATATATGTTTAGCTCTGTATGGTGATGGTGCAGCCAACCAAGGACAAGTCTTTGAAGCATATAACATAGCAAAATTATGGAGTTTGCCAGTTATATTCATATGTGAAAACAATGGATTTGGTATGGGCACAAGTGTTGAAAGGGCTTCTGCTTCAACTGATTACTATACTAGAGGTGATTACATTCCTGGCATATGGGTAAGTGCAAGTAAAAATTTTTTTATATTTAGCTTTTGTTAACAGTGTATAAGGAATTTAAGGGAATAAAAAGACTTAAAGTGTATAAATCATTATCTAGAAAGTAAAAAATAATTATACCACACTGCCTAGTAGGGTAAAATCAGCCATAAACCTGATAACAGAAAGGAGGAATGCGAGAGCAATTGGCAGTGGTTACCTAACTTTCTTCAGATATTTTGTTACTGAGAAGAGGAATGGGGTAGATTGGAATTTCTACAGAAAGAACAAAACCTATCACAAAATTCATTATATTGGTTCCAAGAAATAGTGTTACAAAGGAAAAGGGATAAAAATTGAAAAATTAGAATACCATAACAAACATTTGAGTACAATAGTAAAACATGGGGAAATTCACATGCATAAATATATATTGTAATTGCAGTAAAACAGTAATTTAAATTTGCATACACTGTTTACACTGCATAGGAAAAGTTAGGAATTATTACAGTCTGTTTACTAATAAACCATCACATTATTTCAAAAATAATATTCTGCTTAACCAACACAATCTTTCAATGCATTATTTCATCCAGGTGGATGGAATGGATGTTTTGGCTGTCAGAGAAGCAACGGAATTTGCTGCTAATATTTGCCGAACTGGGAAAGGTCCATTAGTCATGGAAGTTGCAACATATCGTTACCATGGGCATAGTATGAGCGATCCAGGAACAAGGTTTGTTATTATCTTTTTTATATGCTGAAATACAGTGTATATTCTAATACATTGCATATTTCCCCATTCCGTTTTCAAATATTACAAAAATTTCACTTTTCACACTTTTTTATTGTGTCAGTTTATTTATTGTATTAAATTTATGTGAATGAGACAGAAAATGAATTAAAATGTGAACAAATATTTTAATTTTTTTCTTTTCTTGCTATATAAGTATGTAATATCAGTAATATATATAAGTATATAATATCACCTTTAATGTCACTTTGAAATATGTTATTTTATTACATGAAATGACTTGTTTTAAGTAAATTTTTGGGAACATAAGAAGTTGCGTTCATTTTTGCTTTAAAAAAATAGGATTCGTAGAGAAAATAAACCTGTCATATACTTTTAACAATTGACTTTTGATTGAGCTAAAATTTGAATCATAATCTGATTATTATTTTTCAGATGAAATCTTGAGTATATGTCAGTTTTGCAGTCTTCACTACTCATCTAATATTTATATTAGTTTATTTCCATATAATATGGTTAAAATTTTATTTGTAATATTATATGGGATGTATAAGTTTCACTGTTTAAGCAGTGTGCGTGCAGTAACAATGAAACAGACTTGGGTAATAGTTTCTGAAGTGATAAATTTTAAAACTTTCTGCTTCACACTGCATGTGTTGTCATGTTTTGAAAGTTTGTTACACATTTTAGGTAATATTAAAAATATTATTCAATATGAGGCATTTCGGTGTACAAAATAGTTCCAGGGGAGATCACTTTTACCAATGCTGATTTAAGAGATTTGGGGGACTTCGCAAAAGTGCTCATGTGCCCCCCTTTTTTTTTTTTACTTTAAAAAACAAAAAAAAAAAAAAAAAGAAGAAGAATAAGGTACCTGTGTCAGTCTCTCCAAAAGTTTTGGTAAAAATATATGCAAATGTATGGATTCTTTTTTGGCGCATACACTTACTTAATTTTATATGGTCCTTAGTAATAAATCTAGACAAAAAGAAAATAGAAAATATCCTTTTTTACACTTAGCGAGTCAGTAAAATAAAATTGGGCTAAAAAATGTAAATAATACTGACATTAAATTTACCCTTGTAAATGAACATGACAACTGCCTTTTACAGTAAAATGCTGGAAATGTTCACTGTCACGTTGATGCAGCACTGTGCTTAATTTATCAAATTGTGAGACATGCCTAGCAGCTCTGCCTAAGCATGAGTTTCCAAATTGTAATTTGCATAACACTCAAAATGAATGTGCACTTAACATTAGCAACATTTTTTGCATTTAACTCATTGTTAAATGTCTGCATCTCACGAAAAGCTAGGTACTGTCAATGTCCATCTCCACATTTCTGTAGACATTCATTAACCTAAAAAAATAACTTTTTGTTTGCGATATCTGAACATATGCGAATTCACGACTATCATCCTAAAGCTTAGCTAACATCCACTTTACACTGTTAGCCTTGTCTCATGAAATTGGCGAATAAAGATATGTTCCACTAAATTTTGTCTTGCTTCTATCGCATGATCAAAAAGTTAAGCTTGAATTATATTATTAAGTATACTTATGCCTATTTTCCCGCACATGCTTAAGTCTTATCCGAGTTTCCAAAAAAATGAATTCCCACATATACTTAATCTTATCTAGGGCCAGTGCTAAATATTTAGTGTTTAGTACAATCTCTGTGGGTTGAAAATTCTGCTGCCTGGTGACTCCCTAAATTGTAAAAATTTTGCCATCCCTAATGTTGTTGCTCAGAGCTTAACTAAATTTTTAAAATTTTGCCAGCTTTTGCAGCCACACCAACTTTGGCACTAATCTTGGGCTTATCTGAATAACAAATTGATTATTGTCAATTCAAACAGCACTAAATGTTCGTAGGTAAAATATTCTTTTGCCTATGAATATAACATACAAAATCTAATTTTTGCATATGGAAAGAATTTCTGTTCAACTTCTCCTCTTCAGCACACTTATCACTTTGCAGTGGAGTTAGCTGCAGTCTGTAATCATTGCCAAGCATAATGTCAACATTAAAGATCATCACAATGAAAATCTTCTGTTATATTTTGATAACAGAAGCTTAGCCATCATAAAGCTTAGCTAGCGTTCGCTGTACACTAATAGTGATGTATCATGAAACTGGTAACTGAAGACATTTTTTTCCATTAAATTTTAAAGGCTTATGCAGGGCCAGCACTTGACATTTTGCTTCCCACTGCAGTCTCGTGGGTCAAAAATTCTGCTGTCAAGCAGCTTCTTAAATTCTAAAAATTTTGCATCTTAGTACCATTCCTTAATTTAGTTCCTCGGTGCTTCTTTAAATTTTTAAAACTTTGCATCCCTTAAAATCTTTCACTTGATGCGACCATACCAGCTTATTGAATAACAAGTCAGTTATCCTCAATTCATATACACTAAATGTGATATTTTGGCCTATTTACAAAACCTATTTCTTGTATACTGAAAGCAGTTTCTGTTAAATTTGTCCTCGTCAACACTCTTAATACTTCAACGAATTTAGCTGAAGTCTGTAATCATTGCTTAGCATAATGCCAACACAAAAGGTTACTATGTAGTCAATTATTAATATTTAAAAAAATTGTTTAGATATCGCTGCATGAGTCATTTCTCAAGCTGAAGTGTGCTGATAGCCATGTAGTAATGCAAGCAAAAAATAATAAATAATGATTTTCCAGGTTCGCATCAGTGCCGAACTCAAATTAAGAAAAGGAAATCTCATTTTTTTATTATGAAAAAATACCAAATTTGCAAGGGTAAAGCATTAAAAAAAGAAAGAAAGAAATGTTGGTGGTGATTGAGAGGTCCGGATCTCAGATCATTTCAGAAGTTGGACACTCAGATTTTTTTCTTCGTGCTATACTAATATTTTAAAAAAAGTGTTTAGCCATCACCAGTGCTGTAATGAAATTAAAAAAAGGGAATGTTTTATTATGAAAAATTATCAAACTCCAAATGTAAAGCATAAAAAATTTCTAAAAAAAAGAAGGGTTGGGTTGTTAGTGTTTCAGACGTCCAGATTTTGTCTGGATTTCAGATTATGTACTGTATCATTGCCATCATGAGTATTTAATTTTATTGATATCTTTATACTGTTGTATTAAATTGCCTTTATAAATGAATTTTTCTTATATAGGTTTCGTATGCGCTTGCTCGGTTGCTGTTTGATGATGTAATTTTGCAGCTGGGACTTTTTACATTTGGCTGTAGCCCAGGTGGTGGTGCTAGCAATATGTGGACTGTTTTATTGAATGGCAATTTGAATCTTAGTTTAACTATGACTTTCATTAGTAATCTTGCTGCTTTAGGTAAGTCTAAAAAAATTGCAAAATACTTATAGTTTCAGTAATTTGTTAGCCTTCATTTAGTAGAGACATGAGCATGTTAACTTATGTTAAAGCGTGTTATGTTAAAGCATGTTAAGTCTGTACTTAATTCTTTAAATGCAAGAAGGAAAAACAGGACTTAATTTCTAAAATTAGATGTGCAGGAGCCTTATGGAAGTCCATGAAGAAAAGTAAACAAAATAAAATAAATAAAATAATAAATAATAAAAAGTGAAATTGAATGAAATGTAAAAAATTAATAAATTAAACACAAATAATCAAATAAATTGAAATACCAGAGTTCCTATTTGAGGCTCTAATAGGAATTACAATTTTACCCAAAGACAGAATTGCCAGAGCTGACTTCCAGCTGACTTTGATTCTTGGAAAATACAAATATAATGCTTCATTGCTTGACCACCAGTAAACCATTATATTCATATTTTCCAAGAATCAAAGTTGGATGGAATTCATATTTTTGCATTCATTACTCATATTTGAACTGGTATATTTTTGCAACATTATATTTGTATTAATGAAGTATATTTGTACTGCACAAAGCCCAATTTTACCAGCTCAGATGGAATTTGGGCCTTTCAATGCAATACGTTAAATGTTTCTTGATAGTGAATTCCCTATAAAGGGAATGTTGAATATGTAGAAAGAAAACTGTGACCCTTTGCCACAGTGTTTCAGTTTTTAGTAGAGAGGAAGAAGCTAAAACTGTCTCATGAAAGATTGGCATATTTTGTCTGATGGGAGAGTGGTGCAACTGGCATCATGTGACTGTGGATTTCTGGGGAAAAACAGTAATAAGTTATTTTATTGAAAGGATGGCGAAAAATGTATGGAGACACTGGTAGCCATTAAAATTGCAACACCAGGAAGGAATGATCTGCCGAAGCCAAAATCACATGAAAGGAAGAAAAGGTTTGAATATGCAAATGATTAGTATTTCAGCCTATTCTAGATGATGCAGGAGGTAGAAACAACATCTAAAGCACTGCATAAAAGAAAAGTTGTAGTGGATGTCTCATTCAGAAGCACTCTGTAAGGCCGGTATTTGCTCAGAATATCGTGTTATCTCTCGAATAATATGAAGAAGTGCTTACCAGCAAGTATTGGAATGTGATAGAGGCAGAACCGTTTCTTATCGAGAGTGTGGATAATGGTTCCATGATATTGCCCGTTGCGTTGGTCAACATCCAACCACTGTCATGCGAATACGGAATCAGTGGGTTGCTGAGGATCTTATTGAATGGCATGCAGAATCACAATCCCTTCCTATGACTAATGCCCAAGAGGACAGACATATTGTGAGGTCAGCCCTGCAAAACTATAGAACCACATCACAGATCATTAGTCAGGAAATGGGCATGTTTGCAGCATGCCTAGTGTCCTCTCGTATGCTGCGGTGACATTTGCAGCCACGTGGACTGTCAAAAAGACGACCATTACTTCGGCTTCCCTTGACAATGCAACGTAGAGAGAGACAGCAGCTCTGGTGTGTCAGACGACAAAGCTGGATACAGGAGTGGCGCAATGTTATCTTTTCAAACAATTTCCGGTTCTTCATGCAGTATTCTGATGGCCATATATGTGTATGCAGGCTCCGAGGAGACCACACGTCGCCTGCTTGCATTTGATATTGGCTTAGGGGTCCCTGAACCTGGTGTAATGATGTGGGCAGTCATTGGGTGCACGACATGCATTCTCTAGCTCAGATCAACGGTAATTTGAACGCTGCTTGGTACGTTTCTGATATCTTACGTCCAGTGGTTGTGACATCTTCGAGGCATGCCAAATGCCATCTTCCAACAAGATAATACAAGACCACATGTTGCATGTCGTGTTCTGACCTTCCTCGATACACAGGGTATTTGGTTGCTGCCCTGCCCTGCATATACTCCAAATCTGTTACCCATTGAAAACATCTGGTCATGGCTTGCTGACAGACTGGCCTGCCACCCCTCTCCTGCTAATATGGTTGATGAAGTATGGTGTAGACTTGAAACCGCATGGAATGAGTTTTCAATTTCTGTCATCCAAGCCTAGTTCAACTCCATGCCTAACCAGGTAAGGACCATTTTAGATGCCAAGGGTGGCAGCTGTTTCTACTGATTTCACACCTCTGTAAACCCCCAAATTGCTTACAAATTTAATCGTTTTATCTTCATGCCATACTGTTTATCTGCAATAAATATCTTTTTTGTATTTACTTTTCCTTCATGGTGTTGCAATTTTAATGGCCAGCTGTGTAAATTTACTTTTTATAAATATATTAGTACAGTTAAACTTCCATACATGAACACTCTTGATTCTGAACATATTTCATCTTGTGGGTCATTGACTGCATTAGAGAACATGTCCATGAGTGATATTCAGTACCAGTTGCTGATTTACATTCTCATAAATACTCGCCTTTTTTTAGAGATGGTCATCTATTTACAGAAGGAAGACACTACCCAAATTTTCATATTAAAGTGCTCAAAATAAAATTTAACTTAGATTTTGATGCACTTTTTACAAATTTTGGTACAAATTTGAAAAGTGTCTTGACAACATTTATTTTACAGCATGAGTAAATTTGGCTGAAAATATGATAATTAATTTAATATCAAAATGCTTGGAATATGGGGTACTTTTCTAAATATGCTGTACCATTTCAAAAACATACCAAAATGTGGAAGTTATTTATCTCTTGAATTAAGAGGATGGTCTTGTATTCAAATAAACAAAGTATTAATACAGTCAAAAGTCTTTAATCCGGACTCGTCGGGACTTCGGCGATTCCGGATTATAGATCATCAGTTTAAATCTGTTATGATGGCATGCAGAAATTATAAAACTAAAAATATGAAACCGTAATTTATAAAATAATGAGCGATTATGACCTAAAGGGTATCCAAATTTACCAAAAAAGAAGCCTAATATTTATTTGTGTACTTTATTAAACATTTCTTTTAACGCGCGGATGCGTAAAGCATACCTTACTCATAGCCGAAATTAGAAAATTGCAACCAGAAAACTATGTGATTTGTATTCGTGATATTTATAATGACGAGGAATTTGATTTAAATCATATCAAAGACGGAGTACATCGAAATTAAATACTACATTTAGTAAGGAATTATAAGCCGACTAAAATAAAAACATCTGCTCTGAAGATAACGATAGTGTTGACAGATCAACTTCCAGTTCATTGCGCGCCGCGACGTGCCCCCCCCCCCGCCGCGCAGAGCAGCGTGAAATTGATAAACAGATTTCGGAACGGTTACATAAACAAAGGATATGCTTTTATCCATTTTTTTGTAGCAATTCGTTTTTTGTTTGATGGACATCGAAACATACTTTCGTTTTCTAGATCCTTTGGGAGCTCCAGCATCGGAAATTCTATTTGACATAATCGAAAGTTCAAGCTTACTTTTAGAAAATTGCTCTTACAGTCTGCAAAAAATAATAAGCCGGATCCAATTTGAAGATTAAGGAACAACGCAATTATCAACATTAACTGAAATAGATAATTAGATAATTTTAGCTTATACCGTCCGTCATACATTAAACGCGCACGCGAAAACGTATTCTGCACTTGCGCAGATGCATATGCGCAGTTGTAAATGTCTTGCGCGCACGAGTAAAACGCCTATGCGCATGCGTCAATGCGGCGCATGCGCAGAAAGATTTTAGCTTTGAGGTTCGGATTATAGATCATTCCGGATTACGGGGTGTCCCGAATTAACGACTTTTGACTGTAATAAATTTTGTTGGAAATATTTTATCTAGCCTATTCTTTTAATTTTTAAAGCCATGCATATGCACAGACTGTTCAAAAGTATGTGTAATGACCTTAAATCTTCAAATATTAATTTTAGATGCACATTTCCAGTAATAAAGTTCAGAATTTTATGAAAATAGTACAGTACAAATCCGGACTCATCGGGACTTCGGTGATTCCGGATTAGGGATTTTTTCTGGATTATACGAGTAGATCAACAATTTAAATCTGGTAAGATGGCATGCAGAAATTATAAAATTAAAAATATGAAACCATATTTATGAAATAAAGAGCAATTATTATCTAAAGGGTATCAAAATTTAAAAAAAAAAAAAAAAAAAAAAAAAAAAAAAGCTTAATATTTATTTGTTTACTTTATTAAACATTTCTTTCAATGCAAGTTGTTTAAGTTGCTTCGTTTTTTGTGCTAATATTTTCTCTTTAATTCTATCTTCTGTGGATCTTATCTTTACAGCTGGCATTAACTACAAAGAGTTCTAACCAGTATCCTTAAAATTAAAATTATAACCATTTAAACATTTGCTTGGTTTTAAAAAAAATTAAAAATGTACTTCTAGTACATCGTCGCACGAGGCGAAAGTTCAAAATGCGAATTCATGAGTATGTAAAATAAGAATGAAACATATTCTTCGTCTTGTGCTACGCTGGCGTGGAGGCAGTCAGAGGAGAAGTCACGTGATCTTGAGAAGGCACCTGGTTGATCGAAATCAGTAAAGTTCTTAATTTAATTTAATGATAAAAGCACTTAATATGTAATAAATTTATATATATTCCTTTAAAGCATCTCTCTTCTATAAAACAGGCTGTGTCTCTATAAACAGTATCTCTTCTCTTTACGCGCATGCGTAAACATATTATGCAAATGCGGAAACGTATAATGCGCACATAAAGTTTGCAGCTTTGAGGTCCAGATTATAGATTTTGGATTTTGATTAAAGACTTTGTACTGTAGTAGGTATGTGGGTAGGAAGGGTTCTGTAAAATAAATATAGTTTTTATATGGACCCTATGGAGTAAAAACTCCCTTTGTAAAATATTATTTTGCTGTCATTAGTTGAAAAAATAAAATGTTGCATACTTTTATGTGAAAAACTTGTTAAGCTAACTATTAAAAAAAAGAAAAAAAAATTTCATTAAATTTAATTGCAAATGCATATTGTCCATGAAAAATCTATGTTTCATGGACAATATGCATTTGCCATGCTCATGCGAATTCATGAGTATGTAAAATAAGAATGAAAGATGTTCTTCGTCTTGTGCTATGCTGGCATGGAGGCAGTCAGAGGAGAAGTCATGTGATCTTGAGAAGGCACCTGGTTGATCGAAATCAGTAAAGTTCTTAATTTAATGATAAAAGCACTTAATATGTAATAAATTTATATATTGTTGCATGCGTACGGGTTCGTTATGAAATGAATGCACAAGTCCCATGAAAAATGAACAAAAAAAATTTATTATTATCACAACAAAAAAATGCTTAAATTTTCTCAAATTATCATGCAGTATTGTAATATATCACAGTAGTTATCTTTTAACTACTCAAATGTCCAATAGAACATAATTCAAAACAGCTAAAGAAAGCTAATCCACGAATTTGCTACAATCAACAAGGGCAGTTTTCTAAGCAACTACTACGAACGGAGAGATGTTTTTCCTCCTTTTATAAGATTTTAAAATCACGCGCTAGAATTTTCTGGTACTTTCTCGAAATGAAAAAAAGACATATTTATTTACTTAATGCACACGCTCTTGTATTTTCAATTTTCCGGCTTAGCTTTCTTTTAATATTCGTTACGCACTGCACTGCGCGAGAAATAAAACCATTTAATTTATAATTGAACTAACATTAGCTTTTTAAATACCAAATTCGTAACACTGCCCCCTTCCCAAGGACTGCACGTCCCGGGCAGTACAATCCCTGGACAGGAAGCTAAACTTACAGCTGTGACATAAATGCATTAATAAGCATTACATTACAATAATAAACAACATGAACAATAAATGCAATAAATAAAACAAATCAAATGCTATCAAATACAAATCAAATACTAAATGTAAATCAAATCAAATACGCATTTAAAAACAAAAAGGACCATGGTCTTATACTATTTACAATTATTTACATTACGTTCTATGGCCATAGTAATGAGCTAACCTGTCGTAATGAACGACTTTAGGTTTAGAGTTTGAAGACTTACGAATCCGAACCACGACGTCATTCAGCCTGTTTAGGACTGTGTACGGGCCATCCCAAGGTGACTGCCATCGATGAAATATTGCAGGGACAGTATTTCCCTTGTTGCTGTCGGGCGCTCCGAAAAGGCGTGATGTGACAGCCTTTCAACATCCGGGGTGAGCTCCTGAAGTGTTTCGGTGAGTTTCTGTTGACGGGATTTTAATTGGAGCCTGCTGTAGTCTTTTAAACATTTCTTGCCGAAGCGCAGCTCCAAAGCGCCGGATAGAGCTTCGAAATCTAGCCTTTGATTTTCGGGAAGCGTCTGCAGGATATCCGCTGCGTCTGCTCTCAGAGAAGTGGCGAGATGACAGGCCTTAGCTTGGGAGTCCCATCCATTCGCATCCGAAACTATAGAAAATTGTGTTTTATACACTTGCCAGGATGTCTTCCCGTCATATGTGGATATCTTCAGAGATGGACGAGCAGCCATTGGTAAGAATTTAAAACCCTCAGAATTGCTTCCTTCTGTCGCTGTGTTCTTCTTTAAAGTGTCAACTTCTTTGGCAACAGCAGCAGAAACCCTTTCCTCAATTTGTTGCTCTACCGCAGAAACTCTTTCTTGAATTTCTCCAACTTTGTCTTCAACTGTATCCATTCTTCCTTCCATAGCTTCGAACTTTGTTTTCTATTATGCAAGTAATTTCTCTCTTCAATTCTTCTTGACCTACTTTCATTTCCTCTTTAATAGATTTCATCTCTCTTCTAATGGATTCTTCTTTTTTTTTTTTTTTTTTTTTTTGGACTAGCTTCCATCTTTCTTTCATTTCTTCTTGTCCCGTTTTCATTTCTTCCTTAACGGATTCCTGGCCCAATTTTCATCTGTTCCTGTGCCGTTTTCATTTCTTCCTTAAGGGATTCCTGGCCCAATTTCATTTGTTCCTGTGCCGTTTTCATTTCTTCCTTAAGAGATTCCTGGCACAGTTTCATTTTCTTCTTTAACGGATCTTTGCCCAGCATCCATTTTCTCTTTAATTTCTTCTTTAAAAGATGTTTGGCCAGCTTCCATCTTTTCTTGGAATGCAGTGAAAGCAGTAATGAGCTGTCTCAATTGTTCTTCCATCCCTCTTGTTATTGGCATTCAAATCCCACTTCTGACACCAAAAATTGTTGCGTGTGTGTACGGGTTCGTTATGAAATGAATGCTCAAGTCCGATGAAAAATGAACAAAAATTTATTATTATCACAACAAACATGCTTAAATTTTCTCAAATTATCATGCAGTATTACAATATATCACAGTAGTTATTTTTTAACTACTCAAATGTCCAATAGAACGTAATTCAAAACAGCTAAAGAAAGCTAATCCGCGAATTCGCTACAATCAACAAGAGCAGTTTTCTAAACAACAAACTAAGCAACTACTACGAACTGAGATGTTTTTCTCCTTTTATAAGATTTTAAAATAACGCGCTAGAATTTTCTGGTACTTTCTCGAAATCAAAAAGACATATTTATTTATTTAATGCACGCGCTCTTGTATTTTCAATTTTCCGGCTTAGCTTTCTTTTAATATTCGTCATGCGCTGCACTGCGCGAGAAATGAAACCATTTAATTTATAATTGAACTAACATTAGCTTTTTAAATACCAAATTCGTAACAATATATTCCTTTAAAGCATCTCTCTTCTATAAACAGGCTGTCTCTATAAATAGTATCTCTTCTCTTTACATACATGCGTAAACGTATTATGCACATGTGGAAACGTATAACGCGTTTATGCATGCGCATAAAGTTTGTAGCTTTGAGGTCTGGATTATAGATCATTCCGGATTAAAGACTTTGTACTGTAGTAGGTATGTGGGTAGGAAGGGTTCTGTAAAATAAAATATAGTTTTTATATGGTCCCTATGGAGTAAAAACTCCCTTTGTAAAATATCATTTTGCTGTCATTAGTTGAAAAAATAAAATGTTGCATACTTTTATGTGCAAAACTTGTTAAGCTAACTGTTAAAAAAAAAAAAAAAGAAAAAAAAAAAAAAAAAACATTTGCATTAAATTTAATGGCAAATGCATATTGTCCATGAAAAATCTATGAATTTTCAAAACAAGCAGCTGCTTTTTTTGTTGCTGCTGGCTAAATTTTTTTCAAATGTTTTTCATTAAGCTGGTAAATAAGCATATAAAAGAATTAAATTTTGTCATTAAATTTTGAATGGTCTTGAGACTATCTTTGTGAATTTTGCATATATAGGTATGGCAATTTTGTTTTTTATAAATATTTCAATTATTGGAATTTTTACTATATAGCTGTTATATGCATTTACTTTTCCTCTTTCCTAGAAAATTTCACTCCTCGTGTTAACACTTATGTAAACTTCTCACCTTTATTTTAACAAACTTTGTAATGTGAAGTATGCATATCTGTGAATAATTTTAAGGAAAGTCGTCTTAAAAAGTAGATCAGAGTTCTTAACTTTAAAAATCTCTAAAATGTGGAAACTACAACTATTTTATTGTCACTACAATAAAAAAGTTGTAGAAATATGTATTCCCACAATTATATACCTCATTCTCTACTTTTTAAAATAATTTGTATTCAGCTCTTCAGTCAGCATATATAATTACAGATACTACTTAAATCTCCGGTTCTATTTAACAGCTGTTGCATACTAAGTAAATATCACAATTAATTTGTAATATATATATATATATATATATATATTTTTAGGTATGATGCCTCTCTGGCTTTTTACTCTTGGCCGAAGTCTTTTCTCAGGAATTGCCACAGAAGTGCCTTTCATGAATATTCTGCTTACTCTCGTTTCAATGTTAGTTCCTTTAGGTGTTGGATTGGCATTTCAAAAATGGTTGCCAAGAGTAGCCAAGTTCTGTCGTCACATCTTAGCTCCTGTGTCGATAGCAATGATTCTTTTCATAATCATATTTGGCACATATGCCAACCTCTATATGTTTAAACTTTTTACGTGGACAATACTCATTGCAGCTGCTGCAAATGTGTGGTTAGGATTTCTTTTTGGAACTCTCATCTCCAAAACATGTGACCTCCGTCTTGAAGATATTGTGGCAGTTGCTGTGGAAACTGGTGTCCAGAATACTGGGATTGCAATTGTCTTATTGGGATTTTCCCTTGAGCAGCCTGAAGCTGATCTGGCAGCTGTGATACCTGTTGCAGCCTCCATCATGACACCTCTTCCACTTCTCTGCGCCTATTTATTTTTGAAAGTGCGGAGTCGATATTTCCCACAGGTCCAAGAATCTCGACTTTATGTCATGGATGATGAAGAGGAAAAGAAAGTTCTACCTACTCCTGACAGTTCAGATTCTGTATCAAAGGTTTTGTGATAAAAAAATATGGGAGAAATATTACTGCTTATAGAATATAGGGAAATTATTTTTTTGCCTTATATATTTTTAATTTAAAATCTGGGCTTAAAGATTAGTATCATATTATATTAAATAAGCTTTATATTAGGTCATAAAGTATAGGAGTAATTATGTATCTCTGAAATTCTATAATCTGTAGAATATGTTAGAAGTAATATTAGATTATAGTTTTTTAATATTGAGTTTATTTACCATTGTGTACTGTTCTTAAAACAGATATGTTTTGTCTGAATCTCAGTTATTTTTAGAATACTTTTTAAGTTTTAAAAATATAAATATCTCTGTGGATGTAAAAAAGGATAATTATTTTGATATTTTATTAAAAAAAAATGTGATTTTTGTAGAAGAATTTAGTATACTTATTCAGTCTCGAATATGTGATCTGCAGTTTTTCGAGGAAAAATAACTGAAAGAAATTTAATTGTTAAATTGTGTAATGAAGGTATTGTATTAAGGTTTACATATTTAATCAGTAAAAATGTTCTAAAATGAATTAGAAATTTTATGCGAAGCTTCGTGCTGCTCATTTGAAGAAGTAACAGAAAATATGCATTTATGTCCTGTTTAAAATAAAATGTTTCCCTTCAGGTATTACAAACTAAATGATGTATATTAAAAATTGTTCTGCAGAGTGGAAAATATGAATTGTTATAAGAATATTTAACTTAATGAAAGTTAATTCATTGTTTATTGTTAAAAATATTTTAAATGGTATGAAGACAGGTTATTTTGAGATTTAAGTGTCATGTTAGTATGCTTTTATAAAAATGTTTATTTGTTTACTCTTGAGTTAAGAGTATTTTTTAAAAAATCTGTTTGAAAAATACTTTTTGAGCTTTCTAGATGTGTCAAGTATTTTGAATTTTTAATGAATGTATAAGTATACATGTGTGAGTAGTTTCACCAGTTCATTTTTGAAAAGTCACTATCATTATTGTTGTAATGTAAGTAAAAGCATAGATATAAATTAACAATGGTTTGAAAAATTTTCACCATGTAAATTATCCTATTAGTTTCAAAAAATTTAACCTAGAAATCAGTTTTTCTTCCAGAATTAACCTATTGACAGTACCTTTGCTCTACAATTTTTTTTTTTTACAGTAATAGCCTTGTATGCTTAGCTATAAATTTGAAAAAAAGGTTTTTGTAAAAATTTTCCATGTAATGTCTTCTACCCTAGTGGTCTCAAACTGGCAAGCCATATGTGACCCCTGAAGCAATTTTATGTGGCCTGCCACTTCATTGATGTGTTTGTTGTTAATATCATATTTATAGATTTAGGTATCAAATAAATTCATTGTTTAGTGTATTACAATATAGTATTTATTAGGAGAATAGAAAGGTACCAACAGGCATTACATTGCAATTAAGTTAAAAGCTAGCATTTGCACACAATCAAAAGTGCAAATGTAATGCATAGAAAAGCATTCTGACAAGAACATTAAAAAAAAACTGAAAAAAAAAAAAGAACAATCATTTCATCTCCCGAAATGAAATTTTAAATTGTAAGTATATAAACAATATTAGAGGCACTGAGATATAGAATGAAAAATAAATATAGAATGAGACTGTCATTTTGCTTATTCCCAAATTTTGTCCCAATTGGAAAATTTTCTCTGAAATTTTGGGAAGTTTTCATAATTTATTTATTTTTAGTTTATGTTGAACGTAAATTATTTAGTGGTTAGTTAAACATATTAGAATAGATTTATATTATTATGTTAGTCTCTGGAAAATTTGGAAAATTTTCATAATTTGTTTGTTTTAAGTTTATGTTGAAAGTAAGTTTTTAGTGGTCAGTTGAACATATTAGAATTATTTGAAAGAAATGTAAAAATTTAATATTTAGCTGCTAATATGTTTGAAATAGTGAGACCAGCAAAAATTTCTTACAGGTATTTTCTTGCAGATAAAAGATAAATACCATAAATTTGAATTTTTTTCCTGTGCATTATTATTATAGTTATTTATGCATATTTTTATGTATAGTTAGTAAATAATATTTGAAATTAAGTTAAAATTTAGTTAATTATTTGAAATTTAGTTTTGTTTTATTAAAAAAAAAATTATGGCCATCAGCTGCTTTCAGGTCATGCATTTGGTCTGCATACGGTTTGGCTTTGAGACCACTTTTCTACCCTATGGGCATTTATATCATGTATAAAATTGTCTTTAAAAGTGATTGTTATATTATGATTCGATATTTGAATTATTATTATTAATTTATGCATGTTTGTTTAATTAGAGAAAGAAGAATCATAAAAGTACAAAGTATTATTTTATCCCTTAAATTATGTTTTACACTTTGTTGTGCTACAGTAGCAATAGCACAGAAACATAGATGACTTTTGGATATGTCTCAGGTTCATACAGTGAAATATTATACAATATTTTATTGCATTTTAGATGAACTCTAAACCATAATCTGAACTACAGGTGCTGGTTAAAGGTGTTTTCCCATCACAGCAGACAGTGTGTCTGGTACTCTCGAATACAATATTAGTACCAGAAAAATAGCATACTTAAATTGATATTTTGACACCATTTGCTGCATTATACTAGTATCTTGGGTTGCCACCCATGTAGCAGACCCCTTAATCCTAAAGCAAGTTTCTATCTCTGAACCCATTTCCAAAATCAGGTACACTTGTGTTTAAAGGTTGCATAATTTTAAAATATCATGAAAAATAATTATGTGAGATATTATGAATTTTTGTTTTTTGTGTTTTCTGTTATTAGAATTTTTTGTTCATCATAGCCTCCTTTAGAATAAACTACATATCTGCACTGTAATACATATAGCAGCCTTGTATCAGTAGTGGGCCATGATTTTTGCCAAAAGGAACTCATTTGAAGAAAAGGTATTTTTTAGTACCAAGATCAGCTAGAACAATAATGCATTACATGTTCTAATAAAGTTAGCAAACCAAGCAGAGGAGAATATCAAAAGTGATTATGCCATAAAGTAATAAGAAACAGATAATTTCTATAATATAATGGATGTCATAAACGAAAAAAAAGTTCATAAATTATATGGCTTAAGAAAAGAACACAGCCAGTAAACTATTCAGTTTTTCAGTCTGCATACTAATTCCATGCTAATCATTTTGGATTTATATAATATTCCATTTTGAATTGACAGGTGTAATGTTTCATTTTTACAGAGGGTGTTCAAACGTTTTTGTAACGATTTTGCAAAGATTTATATGTAAATAAACCTTAGAATTTTATTTTCTTATATGCTCGGTCTGATAGCTCTTTTGTTGAAATATCATATTACGTTTTGATTTCCAAGATAAAAGTCCTTTTGTTAAAACATCAAGGTAGATCTTATTCCGCTCCTCCTTCATAATCTACCAGAGTCCATCCAATG